ATAAGTCCCTCTATGTACTGAAAACATTACGACATGTATAGACACGGTGGAAAGACATCAGTGTCTTATTGACTCTGACTAACATTATTGTCGTGTTTGATATCATAATAACGCTGCTAACCTGCCGTCGCGGTATCCCTAACTTTACCACAGCTTCGTTGTGTAGCTAGGGCCATTATCATTGAAATTTCAGTTATGATATGCTATTAAGGTATTATACCTTAATGGCAAGTCATTATAGCTGAAATTATTTCATTATTCGTCACACGAAAATCCCTTGCCTTGCCGTGCCCTCAATGGGCGCCGGGGCTTAGGGCTAGATTGATCCACTACTGTTGTAGTGGATCAATCTAATTTAGTTTTTTTGCGACTAGAACCGACTAAATGGGGACTTTCTACTGGCTAACCAAATTTCAAAATTTCGACTATAGTTACGCTGGAATAAGGAATACATCAACAGAGACGTGGGTACTGGTGATAACTGGATTATGCACCTAATTTCCGCTTGTATTCGATTAAGATAATGGTAAAATGAAACAAGAAAATCAAGTTCATATTTATTTTCACAAGATTAAGAACATCAACAAATCTCTTAAAAATTACAATAACGAAAGACTAATAATTATAGCTCAGCTAAACATATAGCTGCATTATCGTATATTTACACTGTTAAGCTCTTTGGCCTTTACAAAAAAAAATATACACAAAAAAATAAAATTGCGAACCAAAGTCAAGGTAACGAATTTAAAATTATCAATAAAATTTCAACAGACTATAAATATAGTTTAAAAAATATACAGAAAGTGTGCAATACAATCCTAAAGTGCATTTTATACAAATTTTAAATACTGACGTCGGTAAACGATTTACTGCTAAATTTACAAAAAAAAACAAACATTTTGTAATTTAAAATTATACAAATTAAAAATACTACACCCTAAGAGAGAAAGTGTAAGATCTTGCAGTAAAAATGAGACAAAAAAATATATTAATTCGATGAATTATATTTTATTACCTGAAACATATTAAAATTTTAAAATATTAACTAAAATAACGGATAACTCACGTATTTACGTCGAATTTTTGCTCGACATGTTTCGAACCAATTCGTGGTTCTTAATTATGAGGTGCCGCGGCGGTGATTCGACGGAAACTGCGCGCCAAAGCCGCTTAGAACTTTAGACTTAAATACGTGATTTATCCGTTATTTTAGTTAATGTCTGAGTCTCACGGTGGTTTTCTATTTAATTTTTAAAATATATCAAAAAACAGTGAAATGTGTGCACATCTAAAAATACGAGAAACTAAATGCACAAAATTACGAGACAATTTACCTAAATACTCTAAAAGCGTCGCCTGTTTTAGGCAGTGGTGTGTATGGGTTAAGGACTATCCACACACATCAGGGCCGTGGCCGGGACGTGGACGGGGCGTGCTAGTTTGTATGAACTGCGGGCCCGTCCCGGCCCCGGCCCGGACACGGGCATGTGTGAACGAGTTCATACAAAATATAAGCAACGATATTTTTTAAGCCCCTGACGGAGCACGGCCCGGGCACGTCCCGGACATGTGTGGATAGACCTTTAGACTTACACGTTTATTACTCAATAATCGTATAATTAAGGTTAGTCGTGAAGACTTTCCACGGTAGTTTCTTATTTTGTAGTTATATTGATCACATTATGTACTAAATACTAAATCACTATATATTTCACGGTTAAGGACGGTTCTAGCACTTGGTCGCGACGTCCTAGCGGACGTGTAGTCCGGATGAGAAGTAATATAGGGCGGTAAAATCACCGCAATAAGACCATTAATTGTATATTCGAACATATTAATGGCTCGGTGTTAATATAGACGTGTCAAAAATTGACTGCCTAGTGAGCACTAGGAACTTGTGGTATGACTACAAGTGCACGAAACCTATAAGCTAATAATGCTAATCAGTTCGGGTTCTTTATTTCATTACTTTCTGCACTGCTTAAATTAAATAACCAGAGTACTTTGAGCTCCTATACACACACCCGCCTAATACAAATTACGCTCCAATAGACGCATACGAAGTACCACTTTACATTGAAATATCTAACAATAGACCAGGAACCAACATCGCAAAAAATAATGTGAATTTATCAGTGAATCCTGATCTATTTATTAGTGGAGAAGCATAACTACCTAAAGTAGGCACAGAAGGGTTCAGTACATTTGGCTCTTTACGGGAAAACCTTAAGAATATCACATCAACTATTATAACCCTTGGGTTTTAAAAACTTTATAAGAGAAATGGAATGTTTCACATCCATGATTCTATGAAAATAGATACCGGCATTATGGGCAAAAAAGCTCTTAACTGTAACACCATTTTAAATTATAAAAATAAACACTTTTTACACAAGTTTCATGTATGCTACTTTGTACCGAAATAAAAAGAAACATTTTGAATTAAAAAAAAAACTTAAAAATCCAAATATTCAACAAAAAAGAACATATTCAAAGAATCAAGGATTTACCCAAGGGCACACGAAGGGTAAAGCGACAAGTTACCACTATTATATACCTAATTTACCCTACAAATAGCATTGAGCTGAGATCTTGCACCTAAAGTCAATAATTTATGTATACCTATCAAATTTTATGCTCTAAACTTACGAATGTAGAGATGTTGTCCGAATAGACCAGATGAAACTGGTCTCCAGATTGAACTTCCTTATTTAAATCCTGTTTTACGTTCGTGCATATACAATAAATGAACTAAAAACAAAATAGATTTGTAAGATACAGTAGACAAGCCTAACTAAGTAAACAAAAGATTTTTTATTTACCTGCGCGGTAATGTTTTGAATAGTTGTGCAACTTGCAATTGTAACGACAATTTGCCAACGTGTCATCATCATCAACAACAATCGATTATAGTTCACAATATTGGGCATGGGACTTTTCTGAGCAGAGAGTTTGGACCATTCTCCATTACGCTGGCCAAATGCGGGTTGGGGGACTTCAGAAATCTTCCAAGGGTTGTGTAGCTACTACGAGTAGTAGAAGCTGAGCTCCTTGTGAAAGAGTTCTTCCGGGGAAGTACTGCCACTTTACCTATTTCTTACTCTAAGCAATAATGTGAGTATTACTGCGTTTCGGTTTTGAAGGATAAGGGTGCTGGTGAAATTACAGGCACATGGGACTTGTCAACTTTCGTCTCTAGGTGAAGGGCGCAGTGGCAGTGCCCCTCAGATCTTATCTATTTAACGACTACGCAGTCGAAAAGACCCCGGCGCATTCAGGCAGAATCCGACGCACACCGGAATATTCCGGTCCAGGATTTCGGCGCATGCCCCAGAGAGAAATGCGCGACGATGCTCCGAATCGGTCTGAGCATTGAAATTTATGCCTTATTACAATTGAAATAACATAAAATATAAATTGATAAATGTGACGTCCTCTGCCTTTCCGTCCGCCGGTTTGCACTGGCTCTTAGTAAGCGGTGTTGCTGTTAAATATTAACAATTGTATTAACATTTTTTTTTAAATTTAGAAATTAAAGTAACCGAGACTAACCTAACCGACATTACTTGCACGGACTATTGAATTCAAAAATTGTAAAAGCAATATAAGGTGCTACATTTAGCTGAAGACTCAATAAACAACCAAGATTTAATGTTACAAAGGTTGAACAATATTTTGTTAAATGAATATATGCACGAACGCATAACGGTCATACATTATTTAGTACAAACGATTAAATTTCACTATTTCGGAGAACAAAATTCTTAGCTAATTACTTCATATCTATTCTACTGAAACAATAAAAAATTACTATTACAGAAGGATATGTGGACCAGGGGACTCTATTTTTTCTAATTAATTCGTCTAAAAATTTTAATTAACTTCAAATTGACAGACACAAAATTGCTAAGTACTTTTAAATTTCTAATTAACAATTCTTTGACTACAACTGAATTAAGTTTTAAATGTGATGAACATTCAATTTTAAAAGTCAGTCGTAACTTGCAAAAACTTCGTAATTAATTTTTTTTAAATATTAAACATCTTGAACATTCCCATACGAAAAAAAATTTCGTAACGCTTGAAAGAATTATGAGAGACATACTCTAACCTAGAGAATTTTACTGAATTGTGACTCACGACATGCATATGCATGCATCAATAATACAACAATAGATGTATTTATTGAAAACTATTATTAACAAATTTCAATGATTTCCGTGTAATGGTAACTACGTAACACGTTTAGTAGACTTTCCGTCCGTCCGTCTTTTTGTTGATAAAATAAACGTAATAAATATCAAAAGATGGACGTAAAGGATGGATCATATTAAAGAGATTAGTACCTCTTAGAATCTTCACCGATGCTATAATGTCTGAACATATAATTATTAGAAGTATATACAGGGTTATTAGTAAAATAACTACAACCTCACAGGACTACATTACTAACATCATAAACAACAATTTTTGTTCCATGACTTCTTACAAAACATAATGAATTCACCAAAAATAAACTTTAAGTTTTTGTTGTACTATCTGACACTTTTTAGATATGTATTTTTAGCAAAGCCTCCCGTGTGCTTCATTAAAATAATTTTGGTAGTGCGTGGATGCTTTCTTATGCTCAGTGTTATTACCATTTAGAGCGGTATATTTATAGTAGTTTATGTGACGGTTACATAGTGAAAGGCATTAAAATACGAGTGTGGGTTTATGAAAACCTCACACGAGTGTTTTAATGCGTAATTATGTAGTTACATACACTGCTTTATCTACATACACATGTATTATCTATATACTCATTTACACATGTTATAAGCTCCCTATGATGTGTTCAGGAACCGCATGTTACGCTTAGAGGATGGAAAAAAAAAAGGAATAGTCTAAGCCCATCTATCATATCGTTCGATATCAAGTAACGTGTGAATTTGTTAAAATTGTTTGCTATTGACATTTCATTTCGAATAAAACATCATCTCGATTGATATTAGAATTGAGGTCGAATCAAATTGTTTTGTTTTTCAGAGATGTTCGAAATTTGAATGAAATAATAAAATCGAATTCGATGTTATTTTTATGCAATAATAACATTTTCATATTTGTTCTAACAAAACAGTTTATCCTTATGCTGGTCATAATTTCCGGTTTTGGAACATATCATAGAAGGATTATGGTAGGTGTGTAGATAAAATATTTTTATTATTGTATGAAAGTAAAATCGGATGAATTATTAAGTTTATGATATTAGTAATAATTACAGTCCTGGGAGCTTGTTAGTATTTTACAAATAACCCTGTATGTTTGTATGGGAGCTCGGTTGACAGTGAATGCGTGTACATGAAATGTACATGTTGCGACAAAGGCAATGTCAGGTGGATACTGAGCCTGAGCTAAGACTACAACTAACTCGGTCCGGTGTTAAGTGATCCATCCTTAACGCAACAAAATTGTCAAGTCTCTGAATATTATACACAAAGCACATTATTCACAGCTCTTTCAATTTTTGTCGCGATAAACTAATTCATATTCCAGATCCTTTGAATTATTACAAAATCACAAGGTTATAAAGGGGTGGTTATTAGTGACATCCGTCTTAAAAAACGTCAATATGAATTACATTAGTAATTCTTGCATACCAACTGTTTGAAAATACAAACCATGTCATATAAACCCCTAAAATTGTAATAGAATATTTTAAAGTGTACAAATATGTACTTCACACGATACTGCCACACTTTCCATTGGTCAGAGATAGGTTAGGGCCGATGGACGGTCGGCCTAAAGTTCCGTGGCTGAAGGAACTACTGATGCCGCCGCCATTCGTTTCGAAACCACCGTTCATGTATTGGTTGTTCTGTAAACCAATTAGTAACTCGACAAGAGCATTCGCCGCGCTTTGAGCGTTCAGCAATTCAAATATGATGCAGTTACAATCCGGATCTGGATTCTTGATGGAACTCTTTGTACTGGAACTTGAGCTAGTGGAGTTTGTTCCCGAGCCGTTGTGAGAAGGTGGGTTAGGGTGCAGCGGGCAAGTCAACTGCAGGTTCTTGGGATACTGGGTTGGTATTCCCGACAGGTGGTTGGCGGCGGCACGCGCGTAGAATACGCAGGCGTGCCCGTCGGCGTCCGGGTAGTTTGGATTACCGTTGTGCTGGAAATAAAAGCACAATTATATTATTAGCACATAATTTGAGGACCTTAGCTAATGGAAGGGATCTCTGTCGATGGGATAGAAGTGTGAAATGTATGTATATAATGTATCATAAAGCTGTAATGCAGTTATTCATCATCAGCAAAAAGACAATCGTCAACTAGTACCAATACAGACTAAATAAAATTACACAACCTCGGATATTTTTCTTTCAATAAAAACAAAGTTTTGACATAGTATTTATATACTTCTTATTAAGACAAGTAGACTTCTGCCTATTCGGCGTGTCAATGCCTACGTATCGCTCGGAGCGTTAGGGTTGTCACCTTATTATTTTAGTTGGACTTAAAAGATGCAGATCAGAGTATTATTGTGCTATATTGAAATAATCTTTGTCAAATGCAGTACTTCATAATAACCATAATTACAGCCTCAAGACGTCCACTGCTGGACATAGTACCTAGGTTAATATTTTTATATGAGCATCGCGGATTGGTATCTCGACTATGATATTTATGAAATGGATATAAAATGTCAGCATTTTACTCACAACTACAACACTTCTGAATTTGAGCCACTCTTGTTCAAACAATCATAAATAACAATAAACACGTCTTCTATTTGGTATCATTTTTTAAACACCGAAATTATACTATGAATGGCGCGTGCGACTCGCGCGGAGCAACTCGAGCGCACCGCAAAATTATGCTAATATGTGCATTCGTACAAGACACGTAGCGGACGTGCACACATTCGTAAGGAGTTACATTGTTTGTCGTATTTATGAATTTCGGGCTCTTCACAAATCTCATGGTCAATGCTGACGCTGTTAAACGCGCCAAAGATCCGAAAGAGTAGTTTACTTTCCAATACGGCTTTTAGCTGTGGGAGTGCGTACCCATATGAGCAGCTGCGCAGAGGCCAAATGGCCGGCCGCGGCCGCCGCCCGCAGCGCCAGGGCCCTCTCGGCGGGCGCGGGCGCGCGCGGCGGCGGCACGGCGAGCATGCGCGCGAGCGTGCTCACGGCGCCGCGCGAGCTCGCCGCCTTTAACGCCTCCAGACCCGTCGGAACCTCAGTGGCGGACAGGAACGCCCGCCTCTCGTACTTCAGACGAATCCACCTATTGGAAATGTTTCATTATTCATCCAAAATTAGATCGATTTTCACAGTACAATAAGTGCCAACTTAAAAAAAAATTATTCAAAAGATTTCGCTGAAAAATATAGGAAATAGTTTACATCGTATTTGACGCAATCTGCGCTGTTCTTTATATAATGAGACACTGATTCAGTGCCCAGGGTTCTTTTTTTATCACCACAGGATCGAATGTATATTCATGTATACAAAAAAAAATTGTAAGGGCGGTTACACATGGCGACTTTTAGGCTGCTTACCTTAATAATTGGAAAATATAGATGAATATGCTATAGGCGAAAAACATGACGCGTCGCGACGCTTCGACTCTGCGCCAGTGTGAGTTGAGCCTTAGTAGCGACGCAAACACGATGCAGTCTTTATTCGTCTACACACGCGCGCGATTTTAAACAGCGAGGCAAAGGCTTTGCAAGGATTTATAGGCTATTGCATTGATGCTAAAAGTCCCCATGTGTAACCACTCTAATACTAACTCTTACAGATGAATGTCCAAAATAAAACTGTTTTAATATGATTCAGTTACGTCTTGTTAGTTATTAATAATACTTTCATAAATCGAGAAAACAATGTGTATGGCATGACATTTCCACAATTTTAGTCCATATACGGCATGTTATACATTTAATCTAACAGCAATACATGTAAGAAGTTAAGTCATTTGCCTGTTGTCTATGGAACACTGAAGTGAATGACCAATCAATCACCATCCTTGATAACAAATACTTATTTCGATCAAAATCTAGCCAGAAAGAAAAGCGAGGACAGAATGTCTGTGAAGGTTCTGGAACACTAAAGAATTAGAGATATTATAAGGTTCACAAAGAAAAGATTGCATACCGTTCTTTCTCTTCCCGGCTAGAATTAGCGATAGGCTTGATGTGTCCACGTAAATCTGCTTCCCAAATCGAATTAGCGAGAGCGTTGCCCAACGACACCATCACGCTCACGTGGCTCAATCTGTAAATAAGGGTCAAAAATTATGGTTTCGCACATTGACTTACAATTATATGGACGTCGGGTCCGCGCTAAAAAGTGTCCGCACTTGTAAGGCGCTAAAATCGTATACAGAGCGCCAAACTCCGCTTTAGTCTTCATTTGTTCTACTGACAGCGCGATACTGCGATGACATAACAATTTAAATTTCGAATAGGTTGACTTGGGACATTTTTTTCGTGGTTTTTGTATTAGACCCGTCGTCCATTTATTTGTAAGTCAATGGTTTCGCATTATTTTATACAGGTTGTGATAAATAGGTTTGTTGTGTAGTTTTTTAGTCTTTACAGTGTGGCATCACTGAGATGTAAAAAAGTAAACTATCGCCGCCTTATTTCTCAAACTCGTATCTTATAATATAAAGCACAAAATTACTGGAATGCAAAAAACGGATTGTTATACAAATTTTGCAGGCTGATTTCACATTACATTTCCTTCATATTTACGCACTGGGTTTTACTTATTCTTAAAGTAATGCATCCAAATTAACACCCTTCATAAGATATTTAAAATAAATAGAAAGTTTTGCCATCTCCTGAATGTGATTATTCAGTAGATGGCAAATCTTTATAAGATACAAGTTTGAGAAAGTAAGGCATCGATATAGTGTATTCGATCGTAAGTACTGACTTACTATTTACTTCCGGCACCGTTCGGAAATAATTGTACGTTGTATTAAGGGCGGTAAAGAAGGAATTACGAACGAGACTATTAGAATATACAATTTTCATGACATTTGCGAGAAATAGTATGATTGCATGCGGGCTAACTTGAGTATAATGCCCCAAATAACACCCTCGGTTTTTTTTCGGAACGACCATGCAATGAGACGAAAAAAGGCGCAAGTTAGCTTGCATGTAACCACACAATTTACGTGCAAGTGTGACGAAAATAGATTTGTGAGAGTATTAGTGTTTCAATTACAGCTATAACAAGGTTCGATCTGGTACTCGTGATAATTATTTATTATGCAAAAAATAATAATCTCAATTTTTATCTTTCTATTTAGTTCTTAATAGAAAACCTTAAAAATGTTGAAAGTTACCCAACATGACTGTAAGCGTATGCAATTGTCCAACAAGTATAGTATAAAAAAATGTTATAAGTATTGTAACAGTAATAATATAATGCTGGTTTAGAATATTTAGAATACTAACGGCCACTCGTCGAGGTCGAGCGAGCGAACCCGCGAGATGTGCGAGCCGAGGTTGCGGTGCACGCCTGAGCACTCGATGCACATCAGGACGCCCAGGTTCAGACTCGCCCAGTCCGGGTCTGCGAACAACAAAACTTACTTTACTCACGATTTGCATTATCTTAGTATCTAGGAATTTGCGTTAGAATACTTGTGATTATATAAATTTGAAAACTTATTCGTAATTTACTTAAAAATTATGGTAGTCAATGCGAAATAACAGTGTCCTGTCTGTCGCTTGCCAGTCAACCCGTGACAATGGATCATAAAACCGCTATAAAATATCGGTACAAAAAAGAAAGCTATGCTATGGTAAGAAACCTGTAGATAGAGATAATCATGGAGTAACGCAATCCATTACATTGACTCGTTCTAAATACATAGTCAGCTGAAGTAAGACGAACATATTTTATTTTGAGCAGGGTTGGAAAAAATTATGATTTTTTTGAAAAAATGGAGTATCGAACGAATTTTTGAAAAAATCCTAATTAAAAATGATTTTTTGTTCATCTTATCATACAGTTTAACTATATTTTTGCGTAAAACGTAGTAATGTAAAAGGTTAATTAATCACGTGGTAAACAAAAAAAATGTGATATCCCTAAAAATATATTTAGTGAAGAGGAAGTCAAAATTTTTCCAATGTTAAGCAATTGTTTAGAGTGATAGCATCTTCAGCTGCTGTGAAAAGAGCATTTTCGAAAGGTGTTTGGAATTGTTCATAGTAAATTAAGAAACCGACTGGGAATTGAAAAGGCTGGCAAGCTAGTTTTTTGTTTTAATGTTAATAATGATATTGATTTCTCAGATCCTAGTCTTTAAAATATAATTGTCTGATTTTATGTTGATTTCTATGAAAGATTCATATTTGATTAAATCACAGATTTTTATTGAAAAAATCATTTGATTTAAATCAAAATTATTTAATCGTGCCAACCTTGATTTTGAGTCAAGTATTTTGAGATTTGGGAAAAACAGTCTTATAAGAATTTTGAAGTACACTAAACTTGCGTTTATTTATCATCTTTACATGTTTTAACAATCATTAGGCTAAATACGTACGATGTATTTGCCGAAAACGTGCAAATTGTGATAACGTTTCTCTTTCTACAAAAGATGGGGCAAAAGGAACAATCATAGTATTTCTTATAAAGGTTTTAAATTTCATAACTGTTAAATTGTTTTTCCCTCCTTTTGAATTTGGAACATCGTAGCGACATCTCTTTAAAATCATTTAAACTAATTTGTTTGTCTGTTTTATCGACTGAGAGACTATTGTGCTATCGTTAAGGCTTCAAATCCCTCTTCCTACGGGGTTCCCTACATAGAATCCGCATTAATCTGTTAAGTCGCTTCGTTGTCAAATAATGTTACTGAAGGTTAATTAATTGATAATCTTCGTAACGCCGAGCAGTACCGCACCCAGCTAACCATGTCTGGCGAGTCAAGTGTATAATTTCTCCCCAGAGAACATTTTTAGATTGGCAGTTTTCAAAGACAGTGTAAGTTTGGAATAATTTATGCCGTGGTCTGACGAACAACTACCAAAGTAAGTACTTTTATCATGACCGCTTTACACGTTATGACTTCACAGTTGTACTAACCGGCAGCGCCACAATCACAGCACTTGTCGTTGCCTTTGACCCTCCTGATGTAGTACGTGGCTCTGACATCGCCTGTGGAGTTTGCGCCAGTTGGCGCTGGTAGCCGAGACGTCTGAAAATAAAACTTACTTTAGTAATCGTTGCAGGTTATAGCTTGCTTGACTGCCCTTAGTTATTGAAGTGTGCCAAAAAGAACAACTCAAAAAGACCGTCCTAACTTTGATATTTTGATATTTCGTTGCCATTTAATCCACTGTGGATTAAATTAAAGATTCTACTAATTATTTCTTAAAAATTTCTACCGATTACATGTCAAACATGATGTTTTTAAATTTGTCAAAAATGTTTTTCAGTTTTGAGCATTTATTAAACAAATAATGTTTTAAATAATAACAATTTACAAGAATAAATCAAACTCGTGTAAAACTTTCACATATTCAATTGTAATTACACAAAAAAAGAATTGAATATCATGGTAGTAAAATATCGCAATATTCAATTAACTTAATATTTTTACGTACAAATACACACCGGAGTAAATACAAACCGGAAAGACCGACCCGTTAATACCATCAGGCCATCGCCTTACGCGATTAGTAGGCCGTTCAGGTACGAGACACAATGTCTCGTAGTATCGTTATTCGTTTGTGTACTGAGCTGTGTGGTACTGAGGCATGACAACGTTTTAAGTTGACGAATACGTCTTTGCATTGACTAATTCTTCAGATACGCAGGCCTTTATTTACGACTCCATAATAATAACGATTAAACCACAGGCTTTCTCACCATTGAAGATCAATTTAATAATAATAAATTAATATTAGACATCAGATCTCAAAGTAGTTAAAGCACTTGTGTTATGGAAACAGGGACGGTACCTCAAACACCCAGACCCGAAACAATATAGAAAAGTTAGTTTTCTACACTGACCCGGTCGGGGGTCGAACCCGGGACCTCGGAGATGGCGACACCGTGAAAACCAGTGTGCAAGCTACTGGACCACGGTCGTCGTCAATTTGGACGACGTTAATGCAGTTTCGTTAAGGAAGTGCCGTATCAAACCCCTGTAAGGTGTATTGGTATATGCTAAAGAATCATACTGACCCGTCCTTGTAAAGAAGCCAGTATCTGAGCCTCAACCGCAGCAACCCAGGCGTCTCTCTCTGCAGCCGCAGCGCAGCCTGTCGCGCCAACCTCCCACCGCCAACGTTTGCCGTCCAAGCTTACGATGGTGAACTCGCACGAAGTTGCGCCGTCGCCGTCTGTAATATCAACATATTCATTTTAAAACACTTAACGTTTTACTGTGTTCATCCAGTGTTGTCCGAATAAGACAATTTTAATGATTACCGAGAGTTAGTAGCAGTAGAGCTCCTTGTGAAAGAGTTCGTCCAGGGTAGTACTGCCACCTTACCTATTTCTGCCGCCAATCAGTAATATCAGCACTACTGTGTTCCGGATTTGAAGGTTAAGGGTGCTGGTGAAATTACAGGTACATGGGACTTGTCAACTTATGTCTCGGGGTGACGGGCCCAGTGGCAGTGCCCCTCAGATCTTTGCGATTTTAAGCTCTGAGTGGCACTGCAACTGCTATCACTTAACAGCAGTCGCACTACTTGTTCGTCTCTACCCTTAGTATCACAATAAAAAAATTCAAGTTCTTCTGTGTATCTTTCGGAATTTTTGTTCTTGTCGTACGTGTTAGTTTATGAATAACCTACCATCTTCGCCATCCTTCTTAAGCCCACTGCTCTTCATTCGCCGATGCCGTTTCTTAACATGAGGAGTGTCCTTATCAGCGCCATTAGTGGATCCAACTTCCACTTCAGAAGCGAGCGATTGGCGACTCGATGCCGGCTCTTTCATCGTGTCAAACGCTGACATTAGAGCTTTATCGGTTGCTCGCGTTGGTTTTTCTTTGTACCCTGAAATTAAAATTAGCAGACATTTAACAACACGGTTTAATATATTGACAAAATCTTTTTTCTTTTTTTTTCACACGTCCCACCTCGTCTTAGGGAAACCCTGTATCGTGGGTGCCATGGACACACACATAGACAACCACAAATTACAATCTTTATTGTTTCTATAGATGTTTCTCGTATAAATTGAGTTTGTAACATGCCAGGTTCTTCACATTTTTAAATTTCATATGGGATGGGGTGCACGAAAGGAGCATCCCAGCACGACGTTCATTATAATATTATAGCCTTTTCTGTACATTTGGCGCACCGTGGACAATAATTGGCGAGTACCCTATGCCGAAAAATTTTGTCAAAAAATTGGCAAATCCTTTCACCACGATGAGGAAGTATTATAGTGTATGCCATCAAAACGATAAGAAGAACTTTCAAATAATTTTACTTTGAGGCAATATGGTTAGGGATCCCATTGCTCATGTGGACAGCAAACATAAACTATTGAGAACACACAAAGCATCTTTAATTATTTTTCAAAGAATCATATTGATCTTAAGGCTCAATTTGCATCGCCGCGGATCGGAATTAAGTCAAATTTTTATAATGGAGCAATATATAGCATAATGAACTTTGTGTTAATTGAGTAACATACATACTAGTAAATACCAGTCAAAAAACATGTCGCGCTTCTTCCAGAGGATTATCAAATCTAGTTTGTATGTTACACGATGGACATAAAGTTTACTTTCGATTCTGTTCCACGGCAATATAAGTTGGCACTATGTCTCCTCCAATCTTACCCAATGAAAGTCCACCAATGCTATCATGGATATCCAGACTGCTGTAACCATTGTATCCTGGGACAGTGGTGATGATCGACTTTGATCCCCGAGGTTTCTGCCCTGGCACCTTCACTGTCACGTACTGAAGTGAGATCTCCTTGCCGTTGACATCTTCCATGTAGTCCTAAAAGATTTGATAAGTGAATTGTAGGAAATCTTCCTCCGTCTTACGGCTTTGCACACCGAGTTCGACGCGGCTTTAATACAAAATCAACCGTAACAGAGTTGTCAATTTTGAGGACAACCGCGCTGCATTCATGTTGTATTCTATGAGTTGAGTCTTTGAACGTAGCTAGTTAGTTTAATTTCAAAATGCCTTTAAAACGTGTATATAACCTATATGCTTATGTCGCTTTACAAATAACACAGCTCAAGTGAAAATTGACAGTTTTTACTGTTGTACTTTACTCAAGTCACTATAAGACATGAATATTAACAAAAATTATACAACACAGCTTAAAAATTATTACAATATTACAGCTTAATAATTAATATATGCACTTTTTTCACTCTCCTTTAAAATTATAAGAAATTACTTGAGCGGTTTTGTTTGCTAGCGTTAATAATAAATAATGAACCATATTTGCAAAAAATTAACAGTCATTTTTGCAAACGTCCAAAATCTTACAAACATATGTATGATTTTTTTGTTTTTTTTTCTCATGTTAACACTTATTTAGTAATACACGTGATTACTGATGTCAAATGTATCTATGATTTACAACAATCTAATCTGTAATGTAACATATCATTCATACATATCGTCCTTTCCCCAGATAAAAGTATTTCAATTCTATATATAAGCAAAACAAGACTCTCGTAATATTAGCTATGACATCACGAAAACAATAAACTCACGTGCAAGCTGGGATGATACGTGAGCCTCCCATCGTCGCACAGGGTGACGTATTTCTTCTTCCATTCTTTATTCAACGCCTTGCTGCTCTTCTTGTACAAATATCCTTGTTTCAAAGGAATGGCTCTACCAGAGCCTAGTTCACCGTTCTTCAATCTGTCATCGCCTTTTTTCGAAGGAGTGAAGAGATTGGATCTTCTTCGCGTCTTCCGTGAAGTTGTTGGAGTTGACGAAGGGGTGGGCAGATCTTTTGCGTCTTTCACTGGTTGTAGGTTATCCAGACAATGTGGAGCGGTGAACTTGACGTTGTTGTTCTCTGTTGCTATAGAAACTAGGCCCGAGGACGAGCCATGGCTGCCGAGAGAGTTGCCCCATCGAGATGAAGTGTCAGAGCCATTTGTACTGTGAATCTCGACAACGTGTGTGGAGGAGATGCCGCTGCTATTGGATGACGCATCGAAGGATTGTGCTCCGCGGTGGAGGTGATGCGATGAGGCGGAAAGTGTGTGGTGACCGCGGGGCAGAGAATCCTTCAGAAAAAGACAAAAAAGTTACAAATAAACTTAAGGAAAAATACTTTATGGCAGGAATCGAAAACTATTTTGTTTTGCATCATTGACTTATTACAATATATAAAGTTATGACAATCCGCAATGCAAAAGAAAATTGAAATAAATAGAAGAACAATGATATTTATACTAATTTGTGAAATTGTTAAGAAAATGAGAAAAAAGTTTATTCAGAACTTAATCTCATCAAATGACTGTGATTTACAGAAATAATTAAGAATATAAGCCCAATTTAAGTCCATTACCATGTAGTTAAACTTAGAATATAATTTTCTGTAACTGGCTGTTGATGTGTTGTTATACGTCTAAGCCTCTACAAAAGTCTACGAATATGATATTTATGAAAGTTATCTATTGAATCACACAATGAATCGTAATCCAAATGGAGATAAGAAGTATTTTTTACCAAACTACGGCAAAGGGTTATGACTTAACAGATTTTAATGTGTAAGGCATCAGCATCATTGAATTTGTTTCAATTGTTGTCTGCTTGTCAATAAGTGTTTTTATGAAAATATGGCGTCAGTTGTACGTCATGCATTGTGCATGTTGTCATCAAAAACATATTGTATTTAACGTGACAGGTATTTTATTTTGATTTATTGCCTTTTACTTTTAATGATTCCTGGATTTCAGAGGGAGGTATTAGCCACTCAAAAACTAATTAGACTATACTAATATACTATAACATTATATTTTATTATGTAAAAGTTAGTTGGAATAAATTTCTTATTATAATAATCTCGCCTTTATACGCTAACGTTTTTTTAACATTTATAATTTATTTTGGGTACAATAAAGTGTTTATATAATACATATTTAGGTATTCTATTGTGAGAAAAACTTGTATGTTGATTTTGTTTGAACAAATTGAAGAAATTGAATGTGATTACATTCTAAATATAGAAAGTATACTTTTAGAAAACTGTTTGAAACATTGCAGAATCAACAATATCCTTGATTGTAAGGTTATCTTATCCGAAACGATCGTGCTATCTTTCCTGAAAAAATATTGACCAATGTTTATACCATCTATGTGTATTATTGCCATTACGATTATTTTTCTCAAAAATGATTTATTTATTCCTAATGATGATACATTTTACTACAATAAGTATTTGATTAAAACGTAAAGCAATCGTCTTTGCTTCAGTACTGTGTCACTTATCTTGCAATAGGTAATAAGGATTTAAAACACGTCGATATGAATTATTAGTACTTTCATACTTTATGTATCCCTCATGCCGAACAATAACATCTTTACTATTTCTTGAGTACATTTGAATTTGTGGAGTCGAAAGCAGACAACTATTAGTCGTTAACACATAGATAAGGTACATAGGACATTTAATCCAGAATACAATTCATTATTGTCCTGGTGCATTATGTGGAAACATTAATGGATGTGCTTAGTGGACTAAAGTACCATAGTGGACTAGTTGTCTCTGATTTAATAATGTTTTAAAGCTTTGTTTAGTAAACATGTTTGCCTCTCTCAACAAAGAAATTAGTGAAATCAGTGAAACTACAAATTGAATCATTCATCATTCATCATCAGCATCAACCCATTTTTGTCGCACTGCCGAGTACGAGTCTCCTCTCAGGCGAGGGTTTTAGGCGATAGTCTGCGACACTGGCCCAGTGCGGTTTTCGGAGGTTTGTGAATCATCTTTGAGGTGCAGGTTTTATCACATAAATTCAGAGATGCGAGCCTGGAATCCGCAGCCGCTGCATTAGAGGCGGTAGGTCAAACCGTTAGGCTACCACGGCTGATTATTAGTGTTGCAAAGAATAGTATTTCGCCTTCAGGCCGAATATCGAATATTCGGCACTGCGCGAGACCGAATGGCCGAATATTCGGGCAAACTATTCGGCCTGATTAATGATCTTACGAAAGTTGGCGCGCAAACCGCATTATAGCAAAGATACATACATATATATAAATTAAATTAAATGAAACCGGTAATGATGCATGATTTTGTAGAAAGAAATAAAAAAGGAAATTTTATTTTCAAGTTTATAATTCGAATTTATGACATCATAATGAAGAAAGTAATTGCTTATTTCACTTCAGTTCGATTAACTTTCAAAAACTTTATTTTCATTTGCGATTTCATGACAAAATTACATAATAAGTAGGTAGTGTTCATTTGATTTGTTACCTTTTTTTGATCTCATAGAAGTTACTGTTTGTGATAATTTACTGTATTTTCTTATTTCTTCCTCATGTTTTTAGATATTCGGCCAATAGCAGAAAATAGGCCGAATAAGCCGAATCCCAAATAGGGATCGAATATTTGTTGCAATTCTACTAATTATGCAATATTTAATCCATTAAAAAAGTATATTTTTTACTAATTTGATAATTAAATAGTGCTCCTGAATCTGCTCTCTACTATGCAAAAAATGAAGTACCTAGTTTATGACTAACTGACTGGTGTTATTAATTATTGTTTTATTGTGTGCAACACTTGTTGTAGCTCTAGTTACTCAATTTATTGTTTCCAAAAGCTAGATCTTGTTACAAAAATCCACAAATAAATAAGAAGATTTAAAATTACAATGCTGAATGTCACTGTTTGGCAATAGCACTTGGCATCAAATACTGCATTCCGAATCATACAGTGTATTTTGAATTTATATTAGACTGTGTAAACAGCTTTCTATTTTATACAAGTCATGAGGCGTTATGAGATAGAGTGAGTATGTTAAACATATTTTTGCATAATCAAGCAAAAGGTGTTTAACATTAATTGATAATTAATTTAACTAATAATTAATAGAGGTATATGAGAAAGTCAAGATGATTAGGACAAATCCATATTTCGTCTGCTTAAAAATAAAACCACATGAGTGACATTTTCCACAAAAAATCTCGAAATTATGTACCCTTTGTAAGAAAATCACCATCTTTCTGCAGATAACACTTATTAAGCTTATAGCTTCAAAAAGCAAAAAAAAAATTTAATTTTTTGTTTAAAATGTCACTTATGTGGTTTTACCTTTAAACAAAAAAATTTGTGTGATTACTGTTAAAATACACTAAAGGGAAAAAACCATTTTATGTGTTACTCTTAACAGTAGCCCTTTATAGAGAAGATTCTAGTGCCTAGTCTCTTTGAATTTGACATTATTAGCAATATCTCATTAAGTTGAAGTTGAGAAGACTGCAAATTATTTATTATAGGTTTTACCCATCACATGCAGAAATGATGCTATCAGTGCAATAGTGGTTTAAATATTTTTTTATACATGAAAATAGTATCCAAATATAAAATTAATATGTACTTTAGTAAATTTTGAAGTAATTTTTCGAGGGAAAAAAATTAAATGTGAGTTACACCACTATTGCACTGATAGCCTCAATTTAATTTGATGATAACATGAATACTTAAAAACACAACATTCATATATTTATTTTTAATTTGGTACATTTTACACATTCGTAATTTCAATCGAGTTTTTTCCAATAATTAATTCCTTGCCAAAGTAAAAACATAAAAAAATTTTATACATAGGAATGAAACTATTTTTCTGGATTTAAATCGCGTATATTTGTTTTTTCAAACAAACCGACGTTTCGGGCCCTTTGCAGGTCCCATGGTCACATTAATTGATAATTATTTAATAATTAATTGATATATGACAATTGACAACAGTCAACCGTGACCATGGGACCTGTAAAGGGCCCGAAACGTCGGTTTGTTTGAAAAAACAAATATACGCGATTTAAATCCGGAAAAATAGTTTCATTCCTAAAAAAATTTTGCTTCCTGTTTGGGAATAAATAAATTGTATCAAAGTCAAAATAATACGACAATAAATAATTGTTGCAATTGCATAATTGAAACATAATTAGATAAATATTAGAAAAAAAATGTAAGGGAGATAGATTACTTATACAAAATATTTGAATAAAATATATATATTCTATATATATATTAAAATATAAATATATATATATAATAAAATTTAGTTCCTAGCCAAACTGAAAGAAAACCTAAAATCTTAATTGTTACAAAGAAATTGAGCATTTCATAAAGTTTCAAATGCAGTTTCAATGTAGTGATTTAATCAAAATAAAGGACCTATATCCTTAATTAATGTCCTTACCTTATAGAGGAATGTGGAATGATTATGGCTTGGAGAATTTACAAGGGGCTGTGGAGTCACGGGCCTAGAGCCCCCAGATAAGCACTGGGAAGATGAGGACAGACGTGTACCTACGATCTTCTGGCAAGCTGGAAAAAAGAACACAACTCCATTTACAATACTACAGATACACAACATCGCACTATAGATACACCATTTAAAAACCGAAAAGAATTAATATAAAACAATAAAATTGTAAACTATTCACGCACATTCAAATTTAGATGATTTCCTACGGTCGCGCTCCTCCGCTCTTTGTATATTGTAACACGAACTTCTACGCCTCAAACTGGATATAGGCGACATATTCGATTTAAAAATAAGTGTTCTCTCCATGATTCCATTCAGAATCACATTAATTAAACACGATTTATAAAAGTTAATTTCAACCGAACGAATTCTCGACGGCTCGAAGCGTCAAAAAATGTAAACAATGCGCGACGCGAGAATGAAATAAACGACCGAGAACGAATCGAACCGAACAACCGCACGGCTGGGGGCCAGTGTTGCCACTGCCAGCGAATAAAACTCCCCGAAACCCCTCACGTACTGAGAAACAAGATCCACTTTTCTCTAACCCGATAATCATCGTAAAAATCGATGTTACGTAATATATCTCGATAGTTTCTTTCTACGTATAAGCAATCAGAATTTTGTCAAGTTAAAAAATCTGAGCATTGACGATTTTACATCAAATGTTATTTTGCATAATGTATGTGTGCAATAATTTTTTTGTATTTTTATCGCATTATTGAATGCGTCAGAAGTAGATGTAGGTAACAACATAGATTTTCAACTTGTTTCTCATTCAGAAAATCGTTAAACAATATACTATTCTCCATAAACATAAATTCCATTTATAAACCATCATGCTTACTTTCCTTCAATTTTAACACAAAATTGATTATTACGAAAGTAAAAAATAGGCACCAGCTAGTTAAACATTTATTCACCACATTCTCAACCTTGAGCCCAATTTCGAACAACTCCCGATCAAAGATAAAACAATCCTATGGGTGTAAATCAAAAACGGTAACGGCGCATTCCAAATCTATTGTCGAGTCGAGCGATCGAAAAAAGATAGACATGACATCATCTCGGCCCGAAAAGGCGTACGTTATAATCGTTACACTTACCATCTTGGAATACTCGCTCAACATTCAAACCATACGTAGCACAAGTTTCGTAGTAAGAACATCTTCGCAGTTCAGTTGATAACTTGCGAGCTCGATTGTCGTCCACGACGCGTGGACTACTTTCACTTATGGCATCTGGAAGAGCAACCAATCATTTTAATAGAAAACAGACTATTGGAAGCGCGTACGCAATTAAATCAACATCATTACCAGCGCCTCTATCAACTGGCATAAAAAGTTAGATAAACGAATCAACTGGTCAGATGAAAACGAAGCGTACCAGTAGTATTTTCAATAGCTTACCTTGTGTGCCGACCAATATGATCGGAATCTCTGCGGAATTCCGGTAGTGGGACATTTTATTGAAGTAGTTAGAAACCGTATTATAGCTGATTTCGTTATCAAGGCTGAACACGAAAATTACAGCATCCACCCACGCCGTGAACTGTAACAAAATAGAAAAAGGTAGTAAAACACGTTACATTATAAATAAATACAAGTTTTCATTCCTAGTAACTAATTTCATGTTACGTAATGTATCATAGATCCCCAATACCGAGTAACAAACAATGTAACCCTGTTGCAAAATTATTACAGAAGGAAAAAACCGCACCCTTCGTTCGACACGTAATTACGTGGGGTAATTTGGTGCAGTTGTAGGGGTTTAAAATGAAGGGTTATGTTACAGGTACGCAAAACCGTATACAGTCTATAAGGTTAATGTAATAAAGCCATAATTACAATTATAATGATTTGGTTAACAGACAAAAGCGGTAATAAATTGTTATTAACTGAGAACTAACTTGTTATAGTAAAATTTAAATCTCAAAGTAATGGAGGCGGGATAAACAATATGATTACCTAGACTACCAACAAACTTTGATACACTATGTACTGCATAACGCCAAAATGTTAAAGGATCATTTATTTTTATACGTCACTTAGATACCTCAATTTATGCTTGCATGACAAGGAAAAATCCGCGTCATATGTAAAGAGCATACTACAAAGTCTATGAGTAACACACCATCCACTTGAATGGAGATGCGTAGGAGGGTGTCACCCCTTTCCTCTAAACAACAATCGACAGAACGAGACGCGTCATCCGGCCATAAGAGTGCGTGACGTTAAACAAAAAAAAAGGCTTTTAAGGCCTATACAATAGCAATGTTAATTATATGTATACAATTCAAGTTCGTGCTCATTTCAACTATAAATTAAATCGTGGCATTGAACCTTACACACGAGAAAATTAAAAGTGTGGAACCAGTTTGATTACAAGCTTCAGATGTATGTATGTACCCTTTGCCATAACTCAGTCCCCGAGTTTAATCAAAAGCAATACTGACATTAAAAGAACACAATGAAGACAATCAAGATAATACAGATAGCCAAATAAAAATAAGCACTCAGAGTTTGTGCGAGGTGGCTATTATAATAATATAATAATGCCTCAACCGAATAAGCGTTTACGACAACTTTGCATGTTGTAAGAAAATTGTAACCGTGAAATTCTGACGTGAAGGTTATTGTTTCACCCTAGACGCGAAATTTCAAAACCGTTGTGTGCGTGGTAAATTATTTTAGCATATATTAACATTTATCGAAAATAGTGTATAGTCAACATAGTTTTTGTATTCACAAACTATAACCAATTGTCAGAATGTCAATATACCTACAATATATCAAATGACATAAGTTCAGAATAATAATATTACATCGGTTTGCTACAAACAAAAACTAAAAACAAGTATTCCAGATTTCCTCACCTAAGTATCTCATGGCATTACAAATATCCTTTAATTTTTTTTAAATGTTGTTAGTTGTTACACACCAACTTTGAAACACAGTTACAAAAAAGACTGAACCGTGTTAGTCAAACTCAGGATACAATAAGGTACACTCAGGGCGGCGCACTGAAAGCGACTGGGCGGGCGGGTGTCCCCAAGCGCCGAAGCCTCCATATACAGCCCTTTCAGTCCTTTACCTCAACTTCCCTTTTCGTGAAAGAGATGGTGATATTATTATGCACTACAAATGCAAAGCTTCCAATATAAGATTAGCGTATCGCATCTGACTAGGCGGTATGACATTTGAGATAACTAAATTTGGATCTATGAACATCGATTATACCAGATAGCTACAAGGCTCATGTTTTTGTAAATATATGATATTAATTTAAATCATATAAATTTACAATTATAACTGGAAAAATTGTTGTGAAATAAAATGTAAGTAGTAATGCCTGGTAAATTACAGATCTGACTAAACATCATAATTAATGTAAGTTGCCAATATTTTTATCCATTGTATATAATAGTAAGTTAATACGAATGATTAGGTAGAAACTGAAATCATTTGAACTGTCAATTGCATGGGTAGATTTGTACCGAAACATAATAGGCAAGTTACAAATTTTGATATGAAAGTGTCCTAAGTGACCTACATCACCTCTATTTATAGAAATAATTCAAGATTTCGAATTCCCTCGATAGGCGAGAACTTGATTGAAATGCGAATAATATTGTACGCAAAATTTGAAAATAATAATCATTAGAACTCTCTAGAGTTTGAAAGCGACGGATATATCACACATGGTATTACTGTACTCTAATATAGAATTACGAGACTCAGAATAGACATGTGCTGTGATAAAATGTAAAGAACGTACTTTCATCTTCAATCAGTGAAGCAGACATGGTTAGGAAGCGAAATTACAAGGAAGCAATCGAACGTAGCCTCGACTTGTGCGTGCAGTGACCGCTGGTAGGCGGAGCGATGAAATAATTTGATGTTATTCAAGAATGTTGAAAATTTCTTTTTTTTTACATCAAATTATGTTGGGATTTATGTATGAACTTCCAAGACTTATTTCAAACACGGCAGCTCGGAACATTTTGTTATTTGCTGATTAGTAATTAGCTCTTAATTGCTTACAGAAAATTAATATTCCGCAAACCGGAAACAAACCAAATCCACCTTACTTCCAAATTCAAACTTGTTTAAGTTAAACTTTGGGGTGGACTCAATTCATTTGAAGCAACGCTAAAACAATAATTTCACCATTGTTCCCTTTGGTAGCTCATGTTATCTTTCGAGGGCATTGTACCAGAAATAGTGATTTGCTCGTCCGCAAATGATTTGATAATATTTTCCGGTGCAATATGAGAACTGTTAAGTTTTAATCCACAACCATTGCACGAAAAACATACCAAACAGCATTTGGTAAGGCCGTAAACTTTATTTCGCTAACATTTACGGTTCATAAAGTTTCTATAACAATGACAACGCCTATCAGCATACACAATTCATAGCTTTTGTTGTCTTATTCTACCTAAGTATAGACAAGCTACTCGAAAACAGGTTTTCGTGCTCCCACAAAGCCGGGGTGCGTTTCGAACAAAACAAGTTCAGTCTATCTACTTGCTTATGTGTGGTGTTAGTTACATTTTTTTACGAAGCTTGAAAAGAAGGTAGAATAATGCTAGGGTAACTCGATCCACGAACGTGCCCTTTGCCACTTTTACTAACTATATTGTTCATGCGACATGATACTCGCAGGATTGTAGACCGGCGTATGGTTGCTTTAGTTGCGGTCAAGAAATTTCCTCTGTATAATGCTTTAATCATTTGATTCCTCTCAGCAATAACTTTCGAAACAACCTCCGAAATTACAACATGTTCGTGTTTGTAATGAATGAGGTTGGTGACTTTTACTGTTTAGAAGATGGTTTCGTTACATAACGAGGGCAATAATAAGTTTCTGTCTATTATGTACATTGAATAAAGGTCAAAACACTGTAGAAACTATCGTATTTAACGCATGACTGTCTTTGTTGAATTGTGAAGAACACCATGGCGAATGAAGCCGCAGTGTCTTTCAAGTTTCGATCTATTCAAAGGGCGTCGGAAAACGTGACCGCTACATCTCACTGAGCCATTACTCATTCAGTTGTCAACTGTCAGCCATTCCAACAAAGAAAAGACTATGACAAGTGACGTGAAATGAGCGTGAGGAGTATATAATAAAACATCAAGCCAACATCGACAGCCTTTTTCTAATATAAAAAACAGACTGATGAAATACACAACACACGTGCCGGAAATGAAATTTAATTCGAAATTAAGATGGTGTGTAAATATAATATTAAACAACGTCCCGCATATTCATAACCGTAACTAACATAGCGGGGGTAACAAACAAAACGGGCTACAAAATTACTGCCTAATTAAAGAACCCCTAGTAATTAAATTGTCTCCGACCAACTGTATTTGGGCACAATATTATTTACAGTTGTGCAATGTCTTACTAGGCATTTTCGTTTTCTATGACAACGTTATAATGAACTGAATACTAGTACCTACAGAAGCTGAATGAAGTTAGGTGAAATGGTATTTTAATATTATAAGTCAATTTTTTTTGTAGCTCCTTGTTTTCATATAGGTGAGCCTCAGGCTAGAAAAGCCGACCACTTCAAATTGACGTTCATAAAGTTTTTTGCCAAGAAACAAAATGGAAAAGACATTTACGAGAACAAATTTTCAAACAATCATGCTTAAGCTAGATTTTAAATTTTTTACAAAATGGTCCCAAAATAAGGGCACACATTTTATTTTATTCACTTCTTGTCTAACCTGGTAAGGTGGTACTCACTATGTCTATGGTGGTACTTATAAAATCATTCATTCATTCGTTCAGTCGTTCATATCGACGCAAAAAAAAATTAAAAACCTTAATAGAAGCAAAGCACTATTTATTTAGAGCCAGTGCCAATAATTTTGACGAAAGCAAATAATTTACATAGTTTGATTCGGTATCATAATCTATGTTACGTACGTTGCGATGTAAATAATTCATTACAATTAAACCTTTAGTAGGGGCGTAATCAGTATGCAACCATAAAGAGCGGTTACCACGGCGACTTTTAGCAGAACATCTGCAATGAATGATTCAGTCGTGATGCAGTAGCAATGCAGTAGCTAATTGTCTACCTTTACACACACGCGCGACTTAAGCAGCGATACGATTGCGATGCAAACGCGATACAAGTTTTTAATTAATTTATATATACTTATTTCACTTTTAAATTAACAAAACTAAACATTGTGTTTATACCTATACACATTTTTTGCACATAATGATTTTCAACTTAAGCGACAGCATCGATGCTGTCGAGCGTTGGCATCGATGCAGTCGCGCGTTTGTGTCGATGCAATCGCCTATAAATTGCACGTGTCCCGATGCAATCGCGCGTTTGTATCGCTGACAGATACATTAGATAACAAGGCCAGATCTAATAGGCAGGTACTGCTGGTGACAGCAAATATTCAAATTAGTTCGTATGGCATAACTATAATTTACATAATTATAAAATATGAAAGTTATGTACCCAATACCTGTTACCGATTCGAATTAAAAAACAATTTTGTCGTCTCGTTAAAGTT